CTAGTTTGGCAGAGAGGGTAATATGGATGGTTTGCTATGAACTAATGTAACAAATCTCACTGTAAGGTGAATATTACTGTTGATGCATGGATTCTTAATATCTTTTTTAAGAATATACAAGACATTTATCTTTTTATCTACTATTTATAATTCCTGTCAGTAATAAAATAATATATCGTCGGAGTAATATATCGTATAATACTGGATTTTGTTGTTAATTAGATCGTTCCGACCCCGAATTAGGAACTTATTATCCTATTTACCCAATCTTTGAGCTAAAAGGAAAGCAATTATGTATTTAATGCGATATTTATATCTTAAAATTTTAATGGCACAACATTTCGTTATTAAAATCTGAAGTTCGATGTCACTTTCCTGACAGTAACTATATGATAAAATACATCTATTCTATATCTTGGAAAAACACAGATACATAAGTAAATAAAGGGAGAAATTAAGAAGGCTAGACAGTAAGCAAACATCTAAATAGAAAGACAAACAGAGAATTACATGTGACAGAATAGGTAACGTTGACAGGTAGAAATATTTATAGCTTTTCGGCTTATGCAATGTTATACTTTTTATATGCTGAACCATTCCAGTCGGAATAACTTTGATGAGCATGAAGAAAATTTTAAGCTACTTAACGATGAATATAATGTTTATAATATGAAGTTACACATAAATATGTTTTTTTTTCCAAACAGAGCATTGTCCAAAAAGAATCACCATTTGTCTCTTGATTTTGCATTACCTGAGTAATTTGGAAACTATGTAGCTTACCAAGGTACTTTCCTATTTCAGCCGATATTCTTTAATTTTTCAACGACAGGAAAGCCATTCCTAACAGTTTACTCTTCTTGCTTTATAATGTGCTAGGCCATCAACTCCAGCAAGGCTGTTCCGGGAGAACTGGACACTGCGGTTTGCCTGCAGGCGTTGTAAACACAATGTGGAGCCGCGTAATATGCTCTTACTCGACCGACTTGCAACAATTCACGCAAGACACTGCTGTCAGCAGGTCGCATCTCAAGGCCCACGGATGCTGCATGCGATGCACGGAAAGGTTGAGCATACTCCTTGGGGCCTTGAAACGACTGGCTTGGGCCGCATTTAGACCCTTCACTACAGTCACCAGTAGGACTCCAGGCAACCGAGGTGCTCCTTAGTATGCCGATACGAGGGCATTTAGAGATTCTTGGTGGTCTGGACTCAGTACTTCCGGCGAACATCGCCTTTCTTGAATAATTATGTTTCCCATCCACCTGACCTTCCGAGGCTCCGACGCAGCTTAGTCGAGAGGCCAATAATCCCATATCATTAGCTTTATCTACTCCAGGCAAAGAAACCACTTCTGCGGAGACTTTGTTGCTTTGAGCGCCTATCGGAGTTATGTTGGAAACGAAAGCAGATTTGTCAACATTTCGATCACCGAGAATGCTATCCTGAGCATCATTATTTCTTAGAGTAGCTACAGCTGGCTCAGCCCTCAGATGTTTGTGCCCTCCTTTGCCAGCTATTTGCGTATGTAAGGTACCACATGTTTTAGGTAAGCTCGAGGGAAACGATGAGCTGTCGAAAAATCTCGAGTTGACTTCTTGCGCTTTCGGCAAAAAGGGTGGCTTAGCAATTCGATCTGAGAAGAAAGCAGTCACTTCTCTTTCATCTTGAGCTGAACAGCGGAGCCTCAATTTTTCAGGAGCCGTGAAGTATCCACTTTGCTTCTGATCATGGAAACTTGTCTCCCTATAAAACGAATCTTTAGATGTATTGTGCAGGGAATGTGCATTAGTTGACGCCTTGTAGGTACTGACTTTATCATGACAAGCACATTTTTCTCTGATCAACGCGGACGGCTTGTCCTGACCACATTCCCCGTACATTGCCAAATACTGACCAGAATATTTCAACATTCGAAGCCAATTTTGAATCCCTTTTAATTCAGACCGTCCGTCTAAAGTTATTTTGGGGTCAGATCTGATGGCAACAATAGAAGAAACTGGCGAACTGTAAAACATGTTCCGGAGAAGAGAGAATTAACAAAATGGATAGATTTGATAAGCATAATCTATAGGCTATGCTATTGTGAACAAGGCTATAGAAAAGTTTATGTTTTTATATATATATTTAATCTTTATCTCAACTCTATCTATGCTATACAATGAATTTTTAAAGGAGTCCATGCCAGTTACGTCGAATTTATACATAAATAAAATGGTACAAAATCAATCATCATTAAATTAATAAATGAAAATATAACTTTAAGGGTTTTTGGCCAGTAAGCCTGCGTGCAGTACGAAAGTGTTTGGCTAGTGAATCTGCTGATCATAAAAATAAAGCTTGGCCTACACTCGATATCCTCTATCTTTTACATGCAAAAAGTGCTATATTATTGTATTCTTAATTTTGTTTAAAAAGGCGAGGGAAAGGAATTCTAAAATTTGCCGAATCGCCGCAAGCGTTAGCGTGTCAAGCTCCCATCCTGCACTGTCGCGGTTCGACTCCCGCTGAGGGTGTTGATAAGACCAGTTGATGCGAGGTAGAAACTGCAGTCCACTGGTGCCTGGATGAGAACAACTTTTGGGAAAGCAAGGATATTTGAAATTCAATGGAAACGTCAGCTTAACTCATATTAATGTGGGAAAATTGTTCTTCTACCAGTCCTTCATCACCTTAAACGAAATTGGGTGAATACATCTCATATTACTTACTGGTAGTCACGAAAACAATACTTAATTTGAAAAATAAAAATAAAGCTTGATATCATCTATCTTTTACATGCGAAACGTGCTCTATTATTGTATTCTAAATTTTGTTTAAAAAGGCGAGGGAAAGAAATTCTACAATTTGCCTAATTGCCGCAAGCGCAGCCATCAAACGCATCCTTCACAGGAAGATTAATTTCATCCACAGACATTTTGTATGGTGAAAGGCATAAAGGAAAACTACGAAATCCTAATATTCCTCAGTAAGGGTGAAAAATTTGGCTATAGGAATTATGTGGGACTCTTCATACTTTGAGAATTCTTCTAAAGCATGGCTTCGGACTACGGTGATATCTATTGCATGAGAAAGAAGAGCTTATCACGGATTCGTTAAGATAACAAGACGATACCCCAAGGTTTTCTTCTTCACAACTACGCAGACACATCTCCTAGCCAACACTACTCAGCCTTTCAACTAGGCCAACTAAAGAAGCTTTTACATCCACTTTTTTTAACATTACTAAAAGGCAATCTACATTAAATTATTGGGTTGTTATTCGAAACCCAGCTTCTCCTTTTGCTCTGGAAAAATATATACAGATAGCAGGAGATGCTATAGCAACATACAAAATCTACAGAGGATGCTTATATGATCAGCAAGAGACTATTTCTAGCTGAAGCCTATTGAACAAGGAAGGAGCACCTTTAAGATTGATTGTTAATAATAAGGGTACTGTGATGCATAGAATCTCACGGTT